TAATGACCAGGTGCAAGAATGTTGTGATATACTGTGTAATAATTCAAGGAAAGATCAAAGTGTCAACTCATTATGTACTGTATAGTTTTAAGTATAAAAATAAAGACTTGCTGAGCCGGGCCAGAACAAGGACAACAGAACAGCAGAACACCGGAACAGCAGGCTGACTGAGAAAGAGAGCCTTTCTATTGTTTTCATTTTTCACCGACTCTGAGTCTCCTCTCGTGTCCTACGACCCCTGCAGAGAGCTGGACTCCTGCAGGTTTCCATCCAAGAAGTCCAATGAACCCCAAACAAAGCAGACCCCAAAAAAATTCAACAAGAAAGACCATAATAAAGTTTTCCAAAACCAAAAACAGAGAATGACTTCTGAAAGCAGCTCATGAAAAACAAAATATCACTTACCAAGGAGTACCAATAAGACTACAGACTGATTTTCCATCAGAAATCAGAAGGGAATGGATGATACAGGTATACAAATCACTGAAAGAAAATAATTATGAGCCAAGAACCGTGTATCCAGCAAAACTGTCTTTCAAATATGATGGTGAAATTAAGATAAGCAAGCAGAAATTAAGGGAATTTGTAAAAACCAGACCAGCCTTCCAAGAAATACTTACGAGAACACTCCACATGGAGAACCACCAGCATCAGGGAACAGAGACAATGGCCCAGCATCACCCAGATACCAACTCAGAGAAAGAGTTCACAAAAGGAAACCAGAGCCACAAAACTCACTGAAGAGAAACAGAGGCATTAAACTGTAAAAGTTAAATCAAAAACAAAACAAAACATAGAGATGGCAGTGATAAATGGTGCAGTTAAAGCACTTACCAATGGAGAATAACTAAAGGCGATTTTAAGATGTTTAAAGTTAAGGAGTAAAAAAAAGCAAATGTCAGGGTTAAGTACAAAAATACTCATAAATCTAATCACCAAAAGAGAGAAGGAAATCATACAGACTCAACACAAAAACAACAACCAAGGACACAGGTAAAAGAAATCCACAAAGGGAGCTCAGCACAGAAAATTTAAAGGAACAAAGAAACCATTAATACCACCCAAAAAACTACAACGAAAACGGCAGAAATGAATTCAGACCTATTAATCAAACCACTGAGTGTAAATGGATAAAATGTTCCGGTCAAGAATGAGTGAGTGACAATGGATAAAAAGCATGATTCATCAGTATACTGACTACAAGAGAGACACCACAGACAAAAAGTCATAACTAAGTTAAAAATCCAAGGATAGAAAAAATATATCAAGCACACAGTGAATAAAAAAGAGCAGGGATAGCAATAATAATTTCAGATAAAACCAAATTTAAGTCAAAATCCAATATAAGAGGCACAGGGGCATTATTTAACAATTAAAGGGTCAATTCACCAAGAAGACGGAACAATCATAATGTACCCAATGTCAGAGTTCCAAATACATAAGACCAACTCTAACAGACGTGAAGAGAAACAGACAGCTAGACTATAACATACAACTTTTGATGATGGGCAGAAGAACTCAGCGAAGTTACAGAAGATCAAATCAAAACACAGACCACACAATGAGCGAACTGAACCTCATAAACATACACAGACGTACCCACCTCCCCCACCACCACCACCACCACCACCACCAGCCGCACAGTACTCACTCTACTCCAGTGCACACTGATCACTGTCCAGACCAGCTCAGGTTCCAGGCAATCCTCAATCAATTAAAACCCCATCAG